GAAGAAGAAGAAGAAGAAGAAGAAGAAGAAGAAGAAGAAGAAGAAGAAGAAGAAGAAGAAGAAGAAGAAGAAGAAGAAGAAGAAGAAGAAGCTGCAACGTTGAAATTTTAAAGAGTTTAACGCATGTTCTCTTTCGACCACCTAATAGCATTTAGTGACATTAGAGTTAATTACGATACATATATTGTTGATGACTGCCTGACGTTAAACCCCACTAAGACATCACATCGATCGATAAACACCCGGTGACAAAAAGCCCCAGCATTAGGATGAGGATCGTTCAGTGACAGGTTCCCTAAAACCCCTAGGGTTATATTAGGGCCCTAAACATACAAACATAATGTACAACATTTCTAGCCTGCAGACATCACCAAAAAATTGCTTATACATATTGTTTCGTGCAGTTTACACGTAGATTTGAATGATTAAATAGGTGATGTCTGTGCTGAGGGTTGTTCTAAAGTAAAATGGCTTCCTAAGCGCTGTCATCTCTGGCAAATGTTTTTTCTGAAAATCTATAGGAACCCTGGTAACATTCGATGAGTGAATTGTGAGATTTGCTCTTACAAACTCACTTTCTCAGCTCCAATCAATTAGTCGCGTATGAAATATTCTCCTAAAACGCAAGATGCACTACTGATATACTTGGACATAGTTCAAGTGCAACGCAATGTTCTGGTTGCATGTAAATACCGCCAGCTGCCATAAGCATTACATTAGTAAACATAAAAGTTACAACTAGTTTAAACTGAGGAATATATAGAAGGTCAACTACCCAGTCAATCATCATTATACACCTCTTTCTGTCGTCAAGCGACCCGGGGGGGGGGGGGGGGGGGAGAGAGGAATAATTTTAGATTCAGTACACGCTGGTGGCACTGAGCTATTTTCATGCCGTGAAGGTGTATAAACTCTCATTACTGTTGTCGATATACAGTTTTTATTTGTATTCATTCATTCTCTAGCTCGTGTAGTTGATCTGCGAACATGCAGTGCCTGTGATTTCGTTTGATGTTGCTGTCTTCTACGAAATGAGCCGATGACATGTTGTTTCCTTATTAGTCTAGTCCAAGGTGTCGTTCCCACAATCTATCTGTTTGACAGTATCATTATTCACTCGATCTCGAATGGTTTAGGTTGGCGGCTTTTCTCAGGCATCTGATCTCGCAGGTGGTGATTTTGCATATTTGGGCTTTAGGTAATTGTCATGTTTGGCACTGGTATCTGATGTTGGTGTGAATATACTGTTTATATCTTTTCCCTGCTTATAGTTATGTTTGGGTGTCTTAATAATGGTGACATTTGGTATAAAAATGCACTCGATTTCTGATTCCTAGTTTCTATTTCCTCAGTCAATTTTTCCATCATCCGTGATCACACTTCCTGGATATGGAACCCCCCACCCCCCCCCCCGTCCCTCCCCCCCGCCGAAATATTCAGCTCTATGTGCAGTGGACTAGGGGTTCGACTGACTTACAACGTTTCGGTATTGTTTGCACTAATCCTCATGTTGTATTTACTAGGGCTGTACCGAATATTCGCTTCGTATTCGCTTCGGGCCGAATAGTGGACCTAATAACTATTCGGTTTTCGGCCGAATAGTTGCGATCGGGCCTAATACGAATAGTGGTTACCTTACACCCGTTTCTGGATTGGTGGAAAATCAACATATCAAGATTTCCCACCTTGGTTCATACTGTCAAGCGTTATCTTTGTGCACCACCTACTAGCGTTCCAAGTGAACGTCTGTTTAGTACACCTGGAAATACCTTCAGTGAGGCAAGAAACCGCCTTATTGCTGACAACATGAAAGGTTTTTAAAAAAAAAAAAAATCTAATGCCGCTTTCATGAATTAACTAAGCTGTCAGTGACAATTTACAAGTTTAGTTGCTTGTTAAAAAACAAAGAATACTTTCATTCCTATGTATTAGTTACCACAGACTGACTGACTGCCTAAATGATGCAAAACATGAAATGTTTTTAAATGTTTACTATTCTGTACTACATTTTGTGAAGTAAAATTTCAGGGTACATTTGACATTATGGATGTTTTCTTTTTAGATCTATTTTATACACGAAGGTGGAAGAATGGGCCTCAGTTTGAATAGTAGGAAAACAGAAGTAATGGTGGTATCAAAGAAAATAATTTTTCCTAAATGTGTAATAAAAGTCAATGGTTTGAAAGTACAGAAATTTAAGTATCTGGGAATATGGATAACATCAGATGGAAGATGCATTACTGAAATAAGAAACAGAATAGGACAGGCAAAAACTGCATTTTTTAAATGAAGAACATCTTATGCAATATATCTTTATCATTGAAGGTTAGAAAAAGAATTCTGGCTTACTACATACATCCAGTTTTAACATCTGGCTGTAAGTCCTGGACAATCGGTAGATGGGCCAAACTATTTATTGAGACCTCGGAGATGTGGTTTTACAGAACAATGCTCAAAATACATTGGGCTGCAAAAAAAAAAAAAAGGATCCAAGAGGTTTTGAAAGAGGCAGGAGCTCGAAGACAACTAATTACAGACATCAGAAGGAGTCTTGTTGCATGGCATCGAGGTGTGTCGGCACACGAACTAATACATGCTGCAGGAGATCGCAGATTGCATAATCGCCCATGAAAGTCGGCAAAGCATCTGATGATGATGATTCACTATTCGTTTCGGCCGAATAGTTGGTCCAGCTATTCGTATTCGGCCGAATAGTGAAAATCACTATTCGGTACAGCCCTAGTATTTACCGCAGTCAATGTCTGTGTTATCCTCTTACGCACATATCGCCGCCTAATGCAGCAAAGTCAGGCATGTGATATCACAACGTCTAGTCAGAGAATAAAGGTGCGGGCAGTCACTGCTGGCGTCCGCTGGATGAAGAATTTGTTGTACACAAAGTTTATCAGTTTCTTGAGAGTACCGATGGCATTCAGTAGATAATTTTGGAACAAAACGGGTAGAGGCTAAAAGGTTACAGCGTTTTAAGTTTATAAAGAAGAAAACGCGAAACTGTCATGAGTCAACCTTACCACACACCTGGAGATAAAGACAAACAACGAATAGACTGACTCATAACAGCCGACAGGTCAATTACTGGTCAGACAGGATGTGCGTAGAGCCGCATGCTTATACGGGTAACTGAGTAGGGAGGTTACAAGGGGACTTGACAAACGGGTAGAGCGATGCACGGCAGTTAGTAGTTGGACAGTCCAGTAAACCGATGTGTCTGTTTGGTGCCCTCGAAATGTGACAATTGTTTTTCGCTTGGCATAGACTGGATTTGAAGATGCGGAGAGGACAGTAGTAGTTATTCATACTTGTGACAAGAGTTTCTTTTGTCATTTAGTTGTGGTAGTCAGGACGATACGTAATTATTGCTCCAGATGCATCCGCTAGCCTCTCATGACTTTGTCCATATTGCTAGGATGATTTGTGAACTACCATACCAGCGTATTGTTGATGTACATAGTCAGTGACTACCTGGGATTAGTGTACTTGTGAGCTACAGGAATAAATAGGTGGCTACTCAGTAGTCGATAACTTTGTGTACGTTCGCATAATAATGCTCAGTAATTTTAAATATTGCTATGCTTTAGGGTTAGGGTTTGGGCTAGCGTTAGAGTTAGGCTTAGTGTTTGCGTTAGGGTTGGGTTAGTCCTAACTCTAACCCTAACCCTAATCTAAAACAATATTATTATTCTGTAAACTGATACAAATAACGGATAACGTCTCTAAAGTTGGAATTGACAGTTATGTTTACTTACGTAAACTAACCATCCAATTGTGGGATGCAATTTTTCGTGTTTTTTTTAAAGCCCCACGCTGGCTCTTGCTCAATACAGCCCGGCCATACAAATAGCCTAATCGCTAAACGCGGTTTTCGAGACTTTTCCACTGGTGATCCTCATCCACATGGTGGTACTCTGTGTCATCAGGTGTTTATCGCTTGTGTGATGTCCTAGTGAGGTAAAATGTATTACTACTATGTTTACTTACAATAGATTGCGTCACCTATTTCGCCTTTCGAAGGGATGCCCAAACTACACCATAGCACGAAGAAATAATATTTCGTTTTCACATATAACGAACTCAAGTGAATGAATGAATCAGTCAAGAATAGACATCACTGCACTGGGTACAAAGCATACCGTACTCCACCCTATTCATTCCTCAGTAGTCGACGAATAGTACCAGTAATAAAGGTGCCATTTGAAAACTAATTAAAGCTCCACCCCCCCCCCCCAACCCTCTTTTTTGCTGGTAGAAACGGGTGCAAATTCTCTGCTCATTGCCTTCGGAATTCTCTCTTCATATATGCATGCTCTGTCTGCTGTACTGTTCAATTAAATGCGAAGAACCATCACCACGGCCGCTTAATCATAAAATAGCTGCTAGTCCAGATGGGTGGTAGCAGCTAATCTCGTTTGCTCTTTTCCCACGCACACCCGAAAATCCTGGCCAAAATGTGACACATGTAATAAACGTGTTTCGTCTTATTCTCACATATGTAGTCAAGGCCCTTTGGGAACAAGCAACGGAATTATTAAAGGAAAAAGATTATTTTGGCCTGGAGAGATTGAGGCACCTGGGTGTAAACAGAGGGTCTGGCCTGCTCGCTACTTTTAGAGAAAAGGCAAGACGGACATATAACCAGATTGTGACCGGTACCATCAGTATTGGAACTCTGCGCTGGCTGCTGAAGATGATCACGGAGCACGCATGGGAATGTCCCGAGTGCTGTGATGTCAATTCTTCTCTCAACTCAACTCAACTCAGATCGTTTTATTTTATTTAAATTCATTTCAGTTAATACTTTTTTTTCTTTCTCTATTTTCAGTCACAAGAAATAACACTGATGTACAAGAACCAATAGTAAAAAAAAAAAAAAAAACTTGATGTGAAGAAATAGCATAGTAAATTTTTATCCAAAACATATTAGACATATTTAATTTTAAAAAAGAGGCACATTTTCACAGTTTTTTTAAGTCAATTGGAAAATGAATAAGCGTGAAACAACAGCACCGGAAACACATTCGTTGAAGAAGTTGTACGAGGAGTTTGGCGGGAGCACGTCCATGCATGGCATTAATCGTGCACTTACCACCAACAGCTCCTGGAAACAGTTCGTGTGGTCAGTGCTGTTCCTGTGTGGGGTAGCATTTGCAGCCTACCAATTGGTGATCACAATTAATGACTTCTATACTTACCCAGTCACAACCGTGGTCACTCTGAAACAAGAAACTACAGCAATCTTTCCAGCGGTCACAATTTGTAACTTGAACAGAAAGAAGAAGTCGATGATCGATCCCGCACTTTTAACAGCTTTTACTGCGTTGGCAGAGGTAATAGTATTTGTAAGCATGTCCTATCGAACAACCGTCTGTCTGTCTACCTATCTTCCTACCTGTCTGTCTATCTGTCTGATTGACTATCTGCATCACGCCTGGCTGTGTCTTTTTGTCTGTCAATGTATATTTCTGTCTTGTCTTTAATTTGTACCTAGCTAAATCCCTACCTCTGAAGAAGAAGAAAAAGAAGAAGAGGAAGAGGAAGAAGAAGAAGCAGAAGGAGCATAAGAAGAAGAAGAAGAAGAAGAAGAAGAAGAAGAAGAAGAAGAAGAAGAAGAAGAAGAAGAAGAAGAAGAAGAAGAAGAAGAAGAAGAAGAAGAAGAAGAAGCAGAAGAAGAAGCAGAAGAAGAAGCAGAAGAAGAAACAGGATGAGTTCAAAAAAGAGTGAGAAAATCAGAGAAATGTTTGGATGTCACACAAAAGATAGATATAACTGGTCTTTTTAGGAGATGAATAGACTTATGAGAAAGCCATCACTCCTTAACTCGGGAATGCCAAAACTGCTGAAGTGGCTTGATTATATTTTATCTAAGGGCTTTGTCCAAGGATAATATTATATCAGCAGACGGCTATTCCTGATGTGAGAACTAGATGGTATGTGAGATCCACTACAACAAAAAATGTCGACACCTGGCAAATATGTAGTTAAAGACTAACCCACAATTTGTTAGGCTCCCATCTGTGTTTACAGTAAAGATGAAGAGATATTTATGTAGGACCCCCGCATATACTAATGGTTAAAATATTAAGAATGAAGCTAATATTTCAACATTTATTTATCTTATTGATATAATAATCGTGAATAATCAAGGCCAAAAATCGAGTGCAGTGCCAAAGCACAATGGTTCACAAGCTTACCGGACTCAGAAAACATCAGAACGTGAGCGTGACACAATAATTTTTATAATCTTCTTCTTCTTCTTCGATCCTTTTCTCAGAAAATTTATATCAGGAGGCCGGTAGCCTTTATGAAAGCTGTCCATATCTTCTCGCTCTTCCCATATACCCGATGCGCCTTAAGGCGTGGGAAGGGATTTTTACTTTACTTTTACATACTTATCAAGCATATTTAGACCATCACCATAAGTTAGAACCTCCCAAAGTGGACAGACTATTCTATTTGTCTCCTGAAAGACTGAAATTTCCATATATATATATATATATATATATATATATATATATATATATATATATATATATACATACAGGTTACAGAGTATCCGCATAATGACATAAGGTGATTATTCCTCATATAGGCCCTCAAAAAGAGTTTTCCCACATCAAAGCCAAATATCCAAATAAAGGGTGCTATTCATCATAATACATACAGTACAAAAATAATATCATATACATAATATACTACTGATATTTCAGTCAGTGCCTACGAAAGGCGTGAAAAGGGATTTTTACTTTTTTTTTTTTTACCCATGTCTATAACCAGACATGTCTCTCATACTATGATTTCTCACATATGCTTATGTCCTTCACCAGAAACATAAGAACAATAAGAATTCCAAGCACCACTACAACCCAATCCACTTATTAGTTTTTATAACTAGTCATCTCCTTGTGTGCTGCAATTTTTCGTTATTTTGAAGCCCCATCCAGGCTCTTGCCAGGGGCCGCATTATTGCCGGGCAATAAATATGGCTGAACGCGGTTTCCAGGACCTCTCCACGGGTGATTCTCATCCATATGATGGCACTTTGTTTCATCAGGTGTTTATCGCTTGTGTGATGTCCTTTATCAGTTCTCGTTATGCCAAATGTGATGTACTGGTGGGGTAAAATATACTACTACTAATCAATTGCACTTCAATAAATGTTAAATACCGGCTTTTACATCCTACATGATTTATCCGACAGTATCAAGATGGGTTTTCTCATGACCTACTCTCATGTATGGAGTCAGGACATAAATCTGACGCATAAGGTCTAAGATTATTCCCTAACATGCATACAAATTCGATAAGAACATACACTTCCTGTTTAAACATGCAGTGAACAGCTACAGCACAGCTCATCTAAGAGCTGATAGAGAAAACATTTATATAATAAATGCGTTCATGAAAATATACATACACGCTGTCTTTTGATCATAGCAAATATACACGAATAAATATGATAAGAATATGCCATGGTAGGTAAACACTAACCTAATTTCTCAATAATTCATGAACCTGGTGTGATCCTAGCCATTTTATTCCAGGACAGAGACTGGCCATATGTAATTTGATGCCTATTAATTAATCTCCTGATATATTTCCGTGTAGACATTTTACAATTTTACAAATGCATATTCGGGCGTTCCATTCCACATTTCGAAAATGCAAAAATGTATTAATCTTTCCCTTACAGATACTTCGGCTGTATTTTTCAGATCTCCTGTTTATTTGCTGGCATTCATCCGATGCCATGTTTGTCACTTTCGCTTCGACCGTTAGAAATTGTTTCTCACATCACTGCATTATCTAATCCACAATTATGTATATATGCTGCAAGGTTGGCAATGCAGGTAAAAACTTTCTGGGCATCTGCAACTCTGATTTGTATGTCTGGTCATTTCTTATCCCCAGGGATCTCCTCTGCTGTCTTATGCTTCTTCTCAAATTTTGGCTTTCTTTCTTTCTCTCTGCCTCGAAACTGACTCTAGGTTTTTATGCATTGCTAAAAAACCTTTTCCGCGTCTCAAACTATTCAGCTGATTTGAGCATTTGATTGGTTTGGCGCCTCTGTTGCGTTTTGAATTTTTCGGTCGTTTAATTTTTCATATAAACTTTCCTGCATTATTAAGGCCGTCCATCTTTCTGGCGCGCAATTCAGAGGGACATTTACATTGGTTTTGTGACAAAGCTCCCCCAGTATAAGTTCGTTTCTTAAACTTCCACTGATTTGAATTGACAGGTACCTGTATCGACCGCAAAAAAGAGAAAGAAGGTGCAGTATACTGTCCACATTCTGAGACGAAATGAGCAAATAATTATAAACAAGCACTGAAATAGGAAAGTAACCGTCTCAGAAAAAAAGAGGATTCCAAAGAAACATTAAGAAGAAAGTTATCACAAGAGGCTAAAAAAAATGCTAGGCTGAACTCCATGTCAGAAATCGAGAGTTGCATGCAGCAGAGCGGAGTGGAAAAATCAAATGCGAGCCCTGTGGGACGTTTAACTGCACACAATGGATGATGATGATTATTGTCTGTATGCTACTTTGTGCTGTATGCTGACGGAAGCTTCCAGCCGCAATGTTCATAGTCTCATTCAGCACATCCAGATATGCGCTGTAAGTCTCTTTTGTTAGATATTTCCATTGTGTGATATTTAAAAACCTAACTTTTCAGAAAAATATACAATTGATACCGCTCCATCATTATCTAAAAAATTAAACTGCACTAAATACCCCCTCTTGTATTGGATTTGACAGATTACTCTCTATATTCTAAGCATTTGATGTCATGAGAAAATCTATTCCGCGTTTGTTTCCCGAGCTTACATGTCAGTGAGTACGGACAACATTTGTTTTTCACGCATGCAGGGCTTTGCGTTACCTCCTTGAGCTTCCAACCATGGAAGTGAGAACAATGATATATCGATCACGTGCGTATCTACGTAGCACCGCCGAGACACACGATCAGTGGCACAGTGAGATTCGTCGGAAGAAGGGAAGCAGCTTTAAAAAAAATATTAAAATCCTGAGTGGGTCGGGCTGAGGCCATTATTCAACAAGTTTGTTCACCTGAGGACACAAAGATTGGTGAGGAATGGGTACGATTGCCAACAAAGTGGTGTACATCTTTCAAGTTTGCATAAAATCCGGAGCCAGAATGCAGACAAGGCTCGTTGGTGGTTGAGGCAGAAGTTCAGGTCCTAATTATTGAAAATTTTGCTGGCGGAGGTGAAGTTATCAACACCAACAGATCCGTCGTTCGACACTTCAAGGTTCATGGGCTTTTACGGTTCTGGTTCGAGGAAAAGCTGTAAGAGAAGTCAGCGGTGCTTTTGCCTCGACTACATGTAGTCTGAAGATGGAGGTGATGGCAGTAACAAAAGCAATGATGTGGGTAGAGCCACAGTCCTTTTCTTTCTAAGTAATTCCACGAGCATGCTAAAGAATACCGAGACATGATTAATTCGTAGAAAATTGCTCGAATCGCTGAGGAAATCTCGTCCCATAGGAGTCAGTTTCATTTCTGTGCCAGGATATTCTGGAGTAAGAGGAAACAAACGAGCAGATTGGCTTGCTGCTAGGACCACGGTAGCTACAGAAAAGCAATGGAACGGGCCGACATTCTCAGTGCTCTCCGGGAGGCTGGACGTGAAGAAGATTCAGGAGATATATATATATATATACACACACACACACACACACACACACACATATATATATATATATATATATATATATATATATATATATTCAGATTTTATTCACATAGAAAATAAATTTAAACATTGGCTGCATAACAAATTCGTCGTATATAAAAACCGACTCGTATCATTGTGGAGTGTATATAACTTCTGTTAATGATTTTATTACAGATGATATGTACAAGATGATTTAGAGCAAGAATTTAAAAACTGATTTAAAAAAAAAGAACTTTTCTGATGTCGCCTACCACCTTAACTTCAATGTTCATTAAAGCATATTGTT